TGTATTGTAAAAAGTAAAGTATTGAGAATTGAGGTTGTTAAATATGAGAATTGAGGTTGTAAAGAAAGAAAAAGAGATTGAAAATAAAATGAGTGAAAATACACATAGTGCATATAAAAAGAAAGAGGGAAAAGAAAAAGAAAAGAATGTGAGTTTGATAGCTAAGACAAGTGAGGATAAACATGCTTTGTACAACAATCAGCCTATATTTGTACCTTTGTGCAAAGGAGCTTATTTGGCCACTGATGATCTTAACCCATCCTTACCAAGTGTGTTTGTTGATCTTTTGCAGGACTTTGAACATGCATTTCCGGAAGAGATTGCCCAATCTTCATTTGAGGGTAAAAAGGTGGTTCTTGCACCATTGACACCTCAAGAAGTGAATATTGATCAGAAAAAGTTGCTTGAGAAAGAGGCCGCAAAAAGATAAAAACAAATTAATAGGCCCAATGGAGTTCACTTGATGTCCCTGAAGAGTTACCTAGTGGATTTGCCACTTTGAGAGGGATAGAACATCAAAATCGACTTCATTTTTGGCCTCCACCATTCCAAATCGGACCAGTCTATAGAAGAAATCAATGGAGACAAAGGAGTTGCAAGGCATATTTCAAAGTTTCTTGCAACCAATGGAGTTTCATACTTTTTTTTTTTTTTTTTTAATTTTTTTATGGTCAAAAAAGGAGAAGAAGAGTAAAGAAAAAATGGTATGGATTTCTACGGAAAAGTGGTTCTGATCCTAGCAAAGCAAAAGATTACCTCACTTTTAACTAAGATTCGAGGACGAATTTTTCGAGGAAAGGGGGAATGATACAATCCGATTTGGTGGCTTCTAGTGGGGCAATTACACGGAGCCATGCCAAAGCGATATGGGGCAGCCCATGTCACCTTATTATTGTTGACCAAATTACACAAGAAGGCTTTCTGATGTTGGCATTTAACAAGTTGTTGATGTGGAACTTGAAGACACACTTAGGCTTCTTTACAATGTTGGAACATCATTGTTGTTGTGTAGCACACCCTAAACCATGCATGCTAATATGTAAGGGATGTGGGCTTGGACGTGGTCTTATCCCTTGTTGCTTGTTTTGGTCTAATTAATATGTAAGGGATATGGGCTCATAGTGTCTATTTAAGTTGTTTTGGGCTGATTTTATGATGCATGCAATCTACCCAATATTAAGTTGTCTATTTTGGGCTGGAAATGATTCTATTTTGTGTGTACTAGTTAGGCCCATGTGTTTTGGCCTTAGGGCAGCCTAATTAGATACTGTTCTTTAGTGTTAGGTTTGTTTGAGGCATATAAATAGCCTCCTTAAGATGTAAAACGGCTGATGATTTTTTTGCATTAAGTTTGAATCTAAGGCAGGAATTTTTCATGCTCTTGCATGTTCTTTCTTAATTAGAGTGATTGTTCATGCTCTTGCATGTTCTTCTTAATTAGAGTGATTGTGAGAATTTGCTATCCTCTAATTGCATCAAGAATTAAGGTAAACTTATCAACTCATTATGGCGTTTATCTTGTTATTTACTCGATTATTGGTGTTTCCGTTTCTGTATAAACATGGGTTGCCATAGAGGGGGATTCATCTTAATCTTTGATCCGATCCACTCGATTAGGGGTTCTAGGAATTCATTTCCTTTGGGTTTCTTGTCATTAGAGTCCCAACATGTAACCAGTTGTCTAGCCAAAATTTAGTGGTAATGCTATTTTACACATCAAACATGATCTCATTCATAACATCGAGTCTATCGCAAAAGGCTCGAGCTTGGCTTGTGTATATCACAAACAAATTTTAAATGAATCGAGTTCAAATCGAACTCGAGCTTAATAGTTTCAAACATGCTGAGATCGAGCTTTAATGTAAAAGCTCGAATCTAGCTCGAGCTTCAATACAAAAGCTCAAATCTAGCACGAGTTTGCATTAGAACTTCACAAACAAAACCTGAACAACTCAAAACTCGACTCAGTTTCATTCATTTATAATGTTATCATAAACTAAATTTGTCAATATTATGTAGCATAAGCAAACTTGCTTCGACTTTTATATATTTATATAGATAGATAAATATAGGTCGACATTTTATATTCCAACAATGAATTAATTTTTCTCCTTAAAAAAATAATGAATTAATAATGAATTGATTGTTCGCGCATTAGGGGGAGAGAGAAAAAGAAACGCTAAACGACAGTGTTTGGACTTTAGCTATTGAACGACAACAAGCACGGAGCAGAAGTGAGTTAAAAAAAAAAAAAACCAAACGACATTAACTCCTCCTTTATTTCCCCCCTCTCTGCCCTTTCAGATCCCATTTCTCAATCGATGCGCCCCCTTTATATTCTCTTCCATATTTTCGTATCTTCCGCCGTGCGTCTCCGTGCTAGACCGACGATGTTACAATAATTGAAAAAATTAATTCCCTGTGCGTCTCTGTACGAAAAGGTTTACTTTTCTTCTTTCTGGAAAAATCCAAATCGCGCTTTGGTTCAGTGTCAGGTTGCTAATTCGGAGCCTGTTTCCTTGACGAGGTAAAACTAAAATAGTGTTGTCCTTTTTGTTTTATTGTTGTGCTTCTTCGATGGATTGATTCAACCTTCAATTATATGTTTAAATGTAGATTTTCAATATTATTATTCTGGTTTTTGTGCTTATATGGATTTGGTTTCTGATTCAGTTACAAGTACTGCATGTCTTATTCCATTTTTACCTAAGTGGGTATAGCTTTACCCATGAATTTTAGCAATTGTCGAAGTCTATTTGGAACATTGTTTACGCATATATATATATTTTTGATGTCTTTCTCGTAGTTCAGGCCAGAGGTTCTGGGTTTGGCGTGGATTTAAGTTGGAAGGTAGTTTCTTAGGGTTTTAGGTTTCTGTTGTTTGGGGTTTCAGGGTTTAATGTTGAATTGGAGGCTTTGAAATTTTTTAGGGTGAATTATTTGGAGATTTGGAAATATTAGGAAAGGGATTTTGATTTTAGGATTTTGATTTTGGTTTTCTAGATAATAGAATGTGCATTGTGCTACTGCATTTGCTGGTTGCTGCAAATGGTTTGAATGATGGATGCTTCTATGTTGTTGAATTGGTGCTTTAAGCAAAAAGGTTGCAAATTTTGAAGTTTATGCAAAAGGGATTAGATTATTAAATGACTGACTGGTTATCTGACTTCTCTCTGTGTATCTGTGTTGTTTTCAGATTTTCGTGAGGGATTGGCGGTAACCAGTCAGAAGGTTAGAGGGAAATTCTTTGCCTATATGGGTACAAAGAGTGTTGGGAAGAAAGGGCACGAGAAAGAGAAAAAGAACAACGCAGAGGAAGGTTTTTGTAATGAAGATAAAAAAAATAAAGTAAAGGATTTTGGTGTTAATGACAATGATTTTGAACCAAGTGATACTGAAATTGAGACTGTTAATATTGAGGGTGGACTAAATAATCAAGAGATAGAAAATAAGAAGAAATTGAGACTGTTAATATTGAGGGTGGACTAAATAATCAAGAGATAGAAAATAAGAAGAGGCAGCATAAGGATAGAAAGTCAGGGCAAGGTAGTGCCAACGTAGAATCTCAGGTAATGGAAAAGATGGATGACAGGCATAGAATCTCTAATAGTGAAAATGTTTCTGAGATGATTAATGGCAAAGAAGTAGATCAAAGAAAGACAAAAATTAAGAAACAGAAAAAGCACAAAGATGTGGTTCATGGTCATGTAATTAAAAGTGCAACAGACAGAAAAGAGGTTGAAAATGGAAGGGATCATGTCTATGTTGAGGATCCAAGGAAGGAGAGGAAGAAAAAGAAGGGGCAGCATAATGTGAATTTGGACAGTAGATCAACAAAAATCACGGCTGAGACAGTTAATGACGAAAGTAATAGAATAATAGAGGACGTGAGTAGCATAGATTTAGCTGAAAATCAGGTGGGAGATGGGAAGGTAGGAGCTCATGCCCGTAAGGCAGCGGATGGAAAAGATAAGAAGAAGCGCAAAAGAGAGGACATTGGTAGTGTTGGTCTAATAAATGAAGATGTTGGAAGTAAAAGCAAATGCTTGGATGAAAATATCTTGAAAAAGGTTAATCATTCAGGGAAGGAGAGGAAGAAAAAGAAAAAACATGATGGTATGGAAGGAAAAGATGGTGATAGAGAACAGAAAATGGGTGGAGGTGTTGAGGATACTAATTCATCACAAAAGTCTACACCAAATACAGCTAAGAGAGTAAGTTTTTCTGAAAATGTGGAGGTTTTCCCTTCTTCTGATGGTCCTAGTGATGAGGAGACTCAAAAAGACAAATTGGTGCAAGGAAAGCGATTCTCACCTGAGGAAGATGAGATGGTTAAAGTGGCTGTTTTGAACTACATTGATTCTCATGGATTGGGTGAAGAAGGTCTAAATATGGTTTTGCATTGTAAAAAATATCCTGAAGTTAAAAACTGTTGGAAGGAAATAGGAGCGGCCTTACCTTGGAGACCTCATTCGAGTGTCTATTATCGAGCCCATATTTTGTTTCAAAGGGATAAGAAACGCAAATGGACTCCGGAAGAGGTTGAATTTGTGCAGAAGTTCCATGAGAAATATGGTTCTGACTGGAAAACTATGGCTGAGATACTTGGCAAACATAGGTTTCCATAGGTTTCATGTGAAAGATACATTGGGAAACGCAAATGGACTCCGGAAGAGGTTGAATTTGTGCAGAAGTTCCATGAGAAATATGGTTCTGACTGGAAAACTATGGCTGAGATACTTGGCAAACATAGGTTTCATGTGAAAGATACATGGCGTAGAATAAAACTTAAAAATAGGAAAGAAGGAAGATGGTCTCAAGAGGAGTACCAAAATTTATTTGATTTAGTGAATAAGGATTTGCGTTTGAAAGCTCTTGAGGAAGTAAAAAAAAGCAAACATGGGATGTTGCGGGATAATATATCTTGGACAGCAATTAGTGACCAGTTAGGTACTAGAACTACTCCTACGTGCTGTCTTAAATGGTATAACCAATTAACATCTCCTATGGTAGCTCAAGGTGAGTGGCTTGATGTGGATGACTATAACCTTGTGATTGCGCTTTATGATTTGGATGCGTGTTGCATGGAAGATGTGGACTGGGATAGTCTTCTGGAACATAGGTCGGGTGATTTATGCCGAAAAAGATGGAGCCAAATGGTCAAACACATTGGTGAACATGGGAATAAGTCATTTGCTGACCAGGTTGAAGTTCTTATGCAGCGATACTGCCCAGATGTTCTTGAAGCAAGAGAAGCTCATAACAGCAAACCTACAGTTACTTGAGGTTCTAAATGCAACTAGGAACAAGAGGTTGTTATGCCACCATATAATGTTTTTGTGGCTTGTTTTGGGTTGCTTTGAGACTGATTGTAGGCTGATGTTAAGAATTTCGTGTAGTTAAAAATGACATTTTTTCACATAAGGCGATTTCAATGTTTCTTAAGATCTCCTTCCCTGTTTTGCTTTTTTTATTACCAAGTTCAAGATGAATATGGTTTGAGTGGCATCTGTCCTTTGTTATTGAGAGAAAACTTTTATATAATATTTGCTTTTTTTTTTCTCAGTTTATTTGCTTTATCAGTGTTGGTGGCACTTGGTTCTGTTATTATCTCTCTCTCTCAAATGCTGGAACTTGGAACCGAAAAAAATCTTGGACAGTAAAATTTTCTATTGGCTGATAGGTGATCATATTCTGATTTACAAAACTGCTTGGTTTTTCATAAGATGGTACTAGCGTTGTGATACTGAAAATAATACCAAATATTCTCTGAATACCTTCGGACCAATTTTATAGAACTGCGACAGGAAGATGCTTTTTCTTCCTGATTTTATATTTTTCCATGTCGAAAAAGAATGTTCATTATGTAGGATCTAAAGTATGGATTTCAATTGCGATTCTATGTGGTGGAAACAGGGTTGTTACAGCTGTTAGTTGTGGCTTGTCTTTATGCTCTGTTTCTTTGGTAAAAATTGAAAAATATATTGTAAGAGTTCACTAAAATTATGGAATGCTTGAGCAAACTAATGTAAGGTATTAGTGGATCCACCACAAGTATCAGCATAAATCAAATGCTTGAAGTTTGATAAAAAAAATTACCAAAACAAGTAAAAAACATGATAGTCCAAATTAACTCGCTTGAGGAAAATGTTAAAAGGCTCATATAGAGACTCTTATTCACAAGATTTTTGCTTCTTTACTAAGTGAAGTTTCTTAAGTGAAATCTAGCCTCAATTTTATGCAATTAGATTTTTGCAGGATGTGATCTGAATGAAAACTGAAAATCGCTGTTCGAATTGACTGTAAATGCCAGGAGATATAGGCGATGGAGCTGGCTGATTTCTTTTGAGCCCCAATAGTGGTCACAGCTGTTGTGGCCTTTGTGTTACTGGTCACACCAGGTCCGTTTGATAGTATTGGAGCCTAATACTCCATTATAGCAGTACAATGGCTGTTGGTCGATTCATAGTCTAAGAATGATGTAATTGTAGAGAAAGCCAATGGGATGACTGATGTCAAATCCATTGTCTAAAATTCCTAACTGTATAGGAAGCCAGTGAAATGCATTGCTTAGCTTTTTATATTAGGTTTTGTTTAATTTCACATACAAACTCTTTGTCCTTCTCTCCCTTCCCCTTCTCCCTTTTCCCTCTAAGACTGCATATTTTCATGGTATATGCTATTCGAACTTGTGCTGTTGTAATTTATTGAGCTTTCCCCTGTCTGAATGAGGAATTGTTTACACCCAGTGCATATGGAAATATGGCACCTTGTATTGACATTCATGTGGGATTCACTGAGCTATGGAAAGTGGATCCCACATTAGTCTAAGAGAGGATGGACATGTAGCCAGTGCATCCAAGAATTTCTCTGTTTTAGTTATATATTCTGCAGCTTTTTTACTCCCGTTGGGTTAATTCTGCACGATTTAAGATTCTAGATTTGTGCTGATTGTTAAACTGGTTTACACTGCTTCTGAAACTATCTTTCTGATAATCAAGTAAAAAGTTCAAGTATTCTGTGACAGAAATAGCGCCAATGTTAGGGTATTATTATTGTTATTATTTGTGTACGATGTTATTAATTATTAGTGTATTTCCCTTCATTTGCCTCATGGATAATTGTTGTTCTTGTCATAAACAGGAGATTACTTTTGCTGCAAGGTACTGATCGATTTGATGGATAATCAGAAGCACAGAATCTTGATGGTTTCAGACTTTTTCTATCCCAACTTTGGTGGTGTGGAAAACCACATTTATTACCTTTCCCAGTGCCTGTTAAAGCTTGGTCACAAGGTCAGAGGTTCAGCCTCCTGTCTGCCAGAGAGCAGCATCAAATTGATTTCCTTGGTTTTAGATATTGTTGATTGCATAAACTATTAACTACATAAATTTTCAGGTGGTGGTTATGACTCATGCTTATGGTAATCGCGCTGGGGTGAGATACATGACTGGTGGGCTGAAAGTTTACTATGTACCATGGAGACCATTTCTTATGCAGAACACTTTACCAACTTTTTATGGGACACTTCCAATTATAAGGACCATTCTTATTCGAGAAAAAATATCATTGGTACATGGTCATCAAGCATTCTCAACTTTATGTCATGAAGCTTTGATGCATGCACGTACTATGGGTTACAAAGTTGTTTTCACTGATCATTCACTTTATGGTTTTGCTGATGTTGGAAGCATCCACATGAATAAGGTATTGCAGTTTACTTTAGCAGATGTAACTCAGGCCATATGTGTTTCTCATACAAGCAAGGAAAACACGGTGCTACGATCAGGTCTTCCTCCAGAAAAGGTCTTTGTGATACCAAATGCTGTGGACACTGCAATGTTCAAGCCTTCCCCAGAGCGACCTGGTGGTGATGAAATTGTCATTGTTGTCATAAGTAGACTGGTATATCGAAAGGGTGCAGACTTGCTTGTTGAAGTCATTCCAGAAGTTTGTCGTTTGCATCCAAATGTGAGTATTTCGAACTGTTATATTGCATTTATGCTGGACAGTTGTTTATTTTTACAAGCAAGTTGTACTAATGGAAAACATCTTGATCAGGCGTTCCTTATCGGACTCGCTGGTCAAAGAGTTACCCATGCATGACTTTTGATTCTTGGTGTTTGATAATTGCATGAGGTTGATACTGGGTGGAATATGCAAGTCAAGTTATTGATAGATGAATGAATCTACTAGCATCTCCCATCGCCTGGACACCTGACTTCCCAAAGAAAAAGAAGGAAAGAAATAAGTATCAATAGTTTTGGTGAAGGATATACCTTCATCTCACTAGTTTTACTTGGCAAGGATATGCTATTTTGCATTTTTGTTGTTCAAATACAACTATTAATTTTTGTCCTGACAGAATTAACATAATTTAGCTGTAAATTTTGAATTGTAGGAATATTCCTCCTTGTTCTTGTTTATAACCACAATATCTATCATTGCAATTTTATTTTCACTTTATTCAAAGGACACTATTGCCATGTTTCTCATTATTGTGCTCGCCTTTCTTGTGGTTTCTCAATATCTTTCATCAATAAAAGGAGGAATTTTAGCAAATGTGTAAAGCAGGGTTGATGATTTCCTTCCTTTAGGACATGAGCTTTATTAATGGTGCGCACCAGTTGGTTTGATTTCTGAACCGAATCAAACAGAAACCGTAATGAGGAGAAAACAGGTGACCAATATAGAACCGATCAGCAGAATTGCCGAAACTGACTCTATAAGAACTGGCTCGTCTGGTTTGGGTCGGTTAGTTTGGGGAGTTTTAGCTATTTTGGTTAGGAAAAAAAAATGTTAGCCACTAAGTGAAAAACATTCAGCATGTTCTGTTAAAAACCAAATCAAAACCGAACAGAACCAGTCAATTTGAGTCGGTTTTCCGGTTATCTCTCACTTATGCTGAGCCCTAAGCTTTATGAATCAGCTGAGGAAGACAAATAGAATTTTGGGTCTAAAATATCACTTTTGTGGACAAATTGTAAAAAATAAGGTCTTTATATTGGGAGAACTAAGATTTTCACATTCCTTTTCTTTTCTCATGGAAATTTGAGAATTTATTTTCCATGTATCATACTTATTTTTGAATCTTGATGTAATGGTAAGGTTGCTTTGTCATGGATCCGAATCCCATTTCCGCTTGTAGAACAAGTAGGCAATGTGAAGCTGTTTGCAAATAGAAGGTGAAGCTGTTTACCTATTGTACTTAAGACTCCCTTTTCAAAATTAAGAATAGTGTTACAATTTAAAAGTTTAATTACTTGATATTTTTCTATGGGTTTGACCGGTAGGATGTCAATAAGTCAATGAGGTTTCTCCATGTAACACTTTGAATGATTTATCTACAAGTAATTCTCTTGTGGATGCTTCATTTATATTCACAAAACTCAAACTACCTCTTGGCAAACTTAAGTGATTATTTTTCATTTCCTGAATTCTCAAATTTCACATGTTTACTTTGATTTTGATTTGATTTAAACATCAAGGCATACGCTGTGCCTTTCTTTGAATATCTCGAGTCGTTCTTGCAATGGAAATGTGCTTGTAAGGGTGCTGTGTTTCCATGGGTAATAATAGAAACCTCATCCGATCACACTGTTCTAAGGGTAGGTAGGTTTTTTGAGAAAGATGAGATAAACGAACAGTGAAGTGAAGAAGTTGATTGCCCATGCAAGTAATCACTCTTGAAAAGCTAAACGTGAGATAGAAACTCATTTTGAGTCATACCATCTGCGCCTAAAAAGATGTAGAACTTTGGGGATGTTTCACTATATGAACTATATATGGTCTTGAATCTGTAACTAGGCTTAGCCCTGCTTGTTGATTTCAATCTAAATATGCTTTTTCTTCTTATTCTTATTTGTGAATATTTATAAACTATCTTCACATGAGAAGACTGTTTTCAGCAGTGAATTTCGTTATCTTTCTGTTTATTGTGCTCCTAGCATCTCATTGGGAAACATGTGTTAAGGTTCGTTTTGTTGTTGGTGGAGATGGACCTAAACGTGTGCGGCTGGAAGAGATGAGGGAGAAGCATTCTCTTCAAGATCGAGTTGAAATGTTGGGCGCTGTGCCACATGCTCATGTTCGGTCTGTCCTGATTTCTGGCCATATATTTTTAAACAGGTACAAAAGATTCTCAAATTTGGATATATTTTGCACTATTTGATTTGGTAGTTTGATAATATTGAAATCAGAGTTCTTCAACATGAAAATTAAATTAAATTCCAGAGTCAGCTGATAGATTTTACTGATGGTCATGAGAACTTGCTGGGGTTGTTATAGGCTTGGTCTTTATGCAAATATAAATACTATAGCAAAATCTGAATTGTTCTTAGCTGGTAGGGGTCTTGTTGCAAAAAACAGGGCAAGTAAGTTGGCACATGGTAGTTCTACTTAAAGAAATGTGAAAGACTTCAGTTATCTGCCCCTCTTTTTAGTTTTATTTGGACCAATGAAAAAGGTACCAGTTTTACTGCATAACTTCTAGCTCAAAAGAGCTTCTTTAGTATACTGCATGATTATCGGGTTTGTTTCTTGCTCTTTCCAAGCATATGCATCTTGTTTCTTTCTTGCTTCTGTCTATGTATCTCTTTCCTTTGATAGAAATTCACCTTTGTCCTTTAAATAAAGGTTTATAGTCAATAACTGGACTTAACACTTTACTGGGGCTTTGGCAATTGCATCTGAAGTGTTTGTCATTTTTAGATATGGTACATTGAGCCCTTTGATACCTATACGATAAGCAGTTCTCTTTTTTTTTTTTTTTTTTCATTACATTTGAGCCCTTTAGATACCTATATCGGATAAGCAGTTTCTTCTGTTGTTTTTTTTTTCCTTGGTAGCTTTTGTGACATGCTTTTGCGCAATGATAACGAATCGCATACAAGTAACTAGAGAATGAGCATAGTATCGTTTCCACAGATAGTGTGATGTGACAATTACGTAGAGAATGTGTTCTCAACTCTATCTATCGCTATAATCTATCATATGGAAATTTAGAAATATTTTTAAAAACGTTAAATTCGACAAATTAAAAGAATAAAAACGAAAATCAAGCTATACGTACAAATTTTTGCAGTTAAAAAAATTCAAAGATTAAAGGAACTACTGTTATTTATTTCAACTTAATTCTATTCTATTTAATTTATTTACGTTCTCTTGAATCAATTGTAATTGTTCAGGAGTAAGTGGGAATGTACACTAAGCCCCTATATTAGCTAAAACCCACAGCTCTATCCCGAATGTATTTACCTATCTTTAACATGCGCTCACAATTACCTTCTTTTCCTAATACGTGCCAATCAGTACAACCACTGGCGAATTAAATCATTAAGTTCTATGTTTGTTTATGAAATTATAATCGTACATCATGAAAAACCCATGAGTCCAAAACTCACTATAGCTTCCACATTCAAGGTTTTATTACTCTTGTAATTTATGACATTTTTCATATCAAAAACCATGCTCCGTGGATACGATAGATTAATGAAAAATCAATCCTATGTGAAGAAAACTGCTGCCTCTGGGAATCATTAAGATCTGCAATCTACGGATAAATTATACTTTAAAGCAGAAGAAAAATAATCTAATTATTTATTAAGAATTGGAAAAGAATCAACCTTATATCAAAATCCCTAGTATGAAAGTTTTAGTTCTGACATACGAGTTAAGTATTCAAATCTAAAACCTGCAACTAAACTTGATAATATCAATCCGATAATCAATAGGTCAATAAATTAAAAGTAAAAAACAAATTACGAGTTTTATGACATACAATAATTTAGTCAAATCACAGGGACAACTCCTTGAATATTAACACAATGCTGATCACTAAGGAAAATCTTAAAGAGAGGACAAGACATTAATAGAACGACATACGACTCATACTTCTACAAAGCGACTATGTAGAATCTATTATCCTCGTTACATATTGAATGAGTTCTTCTTTTTATATAAACTGCTCTGGTCGGTAATAATCCGACTTCGTTTATGGAAATTCATAGATTTTCATTAAGAAAGAATACCCTTTATGGGAAGATAGGAGATTAATTGCGAATTAGCTCTTCTCTATATATTAGACCTCCGCTATTTCTGTCCGTTCCAAATTAAGATGTAGAAGTGTGGATCCGCACGATCAGTGAAATCATCATCTACTGGGTGGGTTTGCCCGAATTAGTTAGTTTTATTAAGGACTGCTCCATTCGTCAACCCCAAAATACAAACTTTAATTCGCGACACGCTTGGCTGTTCCGGGGCGGCACGCCAGCGCGATTGCGGAGCTGAGTCTTAACGTGTTTCAGCACGGCCGATCGCTCAGGCATCGTCCTAGAGAAAAGAATCTTTTGGCACGCTGATGTGGCCAATCTAGCACGGCTAGGCATTTCTAGCTCTGAGTTCTTCCATATTATTTTCTCTCGATTCCAGCACCGGCGGCGGTTCTGATCTATTAGCACGCTTGGCGTGCAGATGCCCTAAGTTTCTGCTTTATTTTTGCTCTATGTGTTTGGCCAAAATTCCTACCCAAATTCCTTAAGATTAAAGCAATATATGTTTTCAAGATCAGCTTGATGTAAAAATATATAAAATAAAACCTGAATAAAAAGCTAACTTAAAGTAATTAAAACTACTAAAAAAGCCTAATAAGAAAATATATTAAAATATATTATAGAAAAAACACTCCATCAGTGTGCGGTCCCCTTTTTAAAAATACTTGTTGCTAGCAAGGTGCACTAAATATAAATAAAACTGAATAAAAAGCTAACTAAAGTAATAAAAACTACTAAAAATCCTAATAGAAATTATATTAAAAATACTATAAAAATAACACTTATCAGTGTGGGTCCCTTTTTAAATACTTGTTGCTAGCAATGCAACTAAAACTTACAAAAGAGTGATATGAGTAAGATCTCAAGTATAAAGCATCTACTAAATCTAGCAAAGCTCTGGAGTAGACTTAGCATAACTGACGGCCTAAGTTCCTGCATGCCCAAAGGGCAAACATGGGAAATTAGACTTGGCATGACTATATTTTATCATGAGCAGGATCTCCCTTTCAAGACCAGGTTCACCTTATTCAACTAAGCCACACTTCAAATTTAATTGGGTTTGTCTATATGGATTCTTTTCTTTTATGCTTGGTTTGAGTTGAGCCTTTAAGGTTTTTCGAAAGAAGTATAGTGCACGGGAAATTCTTTTCTGGACAGAGGATCTATTTCTTCAAAAGCTCTTCTTTCAGTGTTCTCTCAGCCATCCTCCCATAGTGGTTACTTGATCCTTGATTTATTCAAGGAAACACAAGACGAGGCATAAACGGCTATCCGAAATTAATACTAATTAATATTATATAAGTAATTAATTTTTGTAATCATCAAGAAATGGATGAAACAGGATTAATAATGAAAAGGCTAGAACCACAAATTCTGGGCATTGCTTTTGCTGTTCAATTAAGTGCCAACATTAATCTTGAAAGGGGAAGCTGCCAATGCTGACTTGTAAAAACTGTGCTGAATTTTGGATCATTAGTTGGGGATCTTGGTTCTGGGGATTTAGGATGGGGGTGATGGTGAAGGTTTATCTACTCTTTCTCCCTTTGAAGAGGTTTTTGGCTAGTGAACGACAAAGATTCGGGATTCTGTAAAATCTTCACCCATGTCCAAGTTTCTGATCATGCAGCTCTTTGTAAGTTTTATCTACTCTTTTCCCTTTGAAGAGATTTTTGGCTAGTGAACCACAAAGAGTGAAGATTCCGCGAAATCTTCATACAGGTCCAAGTTTCTGACCACTCGGCTCTTTGTTAAAGGAATTGGAAAGTAGAATAATTGAACAGTTGAATTCAATCTGAATAAATTAAAAGTAGTGGAAATGAATCATATGATCTAATATTGGTCCTATTACTAGCACCCAAATGAGTGTCCGTGCCTATGTCTTGGCTTTTAGGACATGGAATTACTGAGCTTCCTTCTTGACTATTCAATGTTGACTGGCTTTTAGGACTACAACACACATGAAAAAAGCAAAAGAGAGCACAACCGAAACTCGCATGGCAGTAATATGTGGGGATGCATGTGTTATTAAGTCAGGTTGAATAATTTCACTACTGCAGATATTCTGTTGTCCCATCAATTCACCTTTAGTTATCCTTGAATTATGTCTTATATTTTTTTCTTGCTGTCTCATATGTTTTTCACTTTTGACAGTTCTTTAACCGAAGCATTTTGCATAGCAATATTAGAGGCTGCTAGTTGTGGATTATTGACAGTCAGTACACGAGTAGGAGGTGTCCCTGAGGCATGTATCATGAGGCTTTTTTCTTCAATCTGGTTGATATAAATATTGATGGTCAATAGTTTTAAAGGTTAAGCTAGTTGCATGCTGGAGTGATTAAATTCTGCAAATTCTAAATAATGTAACCAGTTGACTCTCCATGTAGGTTCTACCAGATGACATGATTGTACTTGCAGAACCTGATCCTGGTGATATGGTACAAGCAATTAGAAAAGCAATTTCTATTCTTCCAAAAATTGACCCACAAGTTATGCATGATCGAGTAAGTGAAAATAATTGCTTATGGTAATTTTTACCTTTTTGATATTTTTTTTACCACCTGTGCAATTGCCAATATTTGCTTAATGTTTACTGACTAGATGAAGAAACTCTACAATTGGCATGATGTGGCCAAACGGACAGAGATTGTATATGATCGTGCTTTGAAATGTCCCAATCAAAAATTTTTGGAACGACTCTCACGGTAAGAAATTGCAAAATCCTTTATTATTATGAGGACACTCATTTAGTAAAAATCCAGTTAAGATGGATTTACTGTGCTGTCTCGTTGAGCTTTCTTCTTTAAGACTACTTTCATGCCAATAACCTCAAAGTACTTATACTTGGTGGTTTTGTGATACAAACTTAGTATTTGAACTATATAGTTGCTTGGAATCATAATGATTTGATTAAAATACTATTGTCCTTTGACGCTTAATACAATTGAACCGCTGCCGTGGTTCTCCTCTCTAAATTCATACTGCAATTTGGAAGTTATATTACTGGTGTGCGATGTTAAGTGTCTGAAGTCAGTTAAACTTCAAGAATTCTTAGACTTGCATGTTTGTTTATTAGGTACCTCTCATGTGGTGCTTGGGCAGGGAAGCTTTTCTGCTTGGTTATGATCATTGATTTTTTGCTATTGCATATAGTGCAATTATGGCAGGTAAAACCTCATTTAAGGCTTTTCTGCTTGGAAGATTGTTTTTTATGTTATTGCCTTCTGGAGTAATTTTGTTCTACATGCAAATTATTGATCCTCTCTTCATTTTTGTGTCTGGGACTTGTACACTGAATATTGTTTTCTGTATTATATTTGAATCTTTATTTTTTCTTTTTATATTCAATTAGCCAGCAGAGAATATTGAAGAAGTACCTGAATTCACTGTTCTTAATCACCAAGATAGAGAGAGGTTCTTGAACTTCAGCGATGGTCAAAGCTCGAAATGATATATTTGAAGACTCGATTTTTTTTCTTGCATATCTTTTTTCTGCAAGAAAAGGAAAGATTGCGTTTGAAACATTGCAGCTGTTATGTAATTGACATTAACCTGAAGAGGGAAGAGAGTTAAAAGAAGACTAACCGACCGAGTTTTACTTTGTGGAGAAGCTTATACCATTGAGCATTGGTTGTAAGAACTAATATAATGCTTTCTTAGCAAAGACTTTATGATAATACTGATGTTTTAATAGAAGATCACAAAGACATTTTAGGGCCAGTTGTTGCATTATTACCCTCAGGAGCAGTGGTGGATGAAGATGGAATGGATCATTCCTCTTGATTCGATTTCTAATAGAAAATGGCTATTGTACAGTAGCCACACGACATTTCATTTTTTTGCTGCTTCTTTTTTATTTGTAATATATGTAAATGGCAAATATCTTCATCCCACTAGGCTAAGATTAAATCCTGCTCTCGTCGAGTGGGTCCAGTAAAGGGTAGACGCTTCCAGCTTCAACCTCAATTAGGGGAAAATGACTATTGTATAATAGCCTCATGATTGTTGAATTTTATTATCATTTTCTTAGAAATAGTCAGTTAACCATTTTAATATGGGATATGGGATTGGTATTATTTCCCGTTGAATTTATCTTTATTTTAAGAATTCTAATTCAATTAGCAGTGTGTCTGCATCTGTAGAAGTAATGAAACTGCCTTTCTTAAGAAAAAAACAAGAAAAGAGAAAGAAAGGAGTAGTAAAAACCTAATTAAACAAAAAAAAAGCATCATATGTTGCCTTTTCTTACCTTCTCTTGACATGGATTGATTTTTTTTTTTTTTTTTTTTTAGAAAGGAACTAGTAAGAAAGCCTAATTAAACCAAAAAAAAAGCATATATCTTGCCTTTCCTTAACCTCTCTCCTTGACATGATGATTTTTTTTCTTTTTTTTTTATCTGACAACAGCGTATAATTTTTGTTTTATAAAGTTTCTTTTTATTATGAAATTTTTTTTTTTTTTTTTTTCTGAAACAGTATAATTTTTGTTTTGATAAAGTTTTTATTAGTGAAAATTTTGGAAATTTAAGGAAGAAATTTTACATAATAATCAAGCAAAATTATTCTCATATAATTCAATGCTTAATTAAATATATTTATCTAAACATTACGCATAAAAATAAAAGTAAAATCATCAAATTCATAATATTAACTTTATTCAATAAACTTTGTTGATGCTAAATTTTTATTAAATTTAATCAAAAATATAAATAATAATGTCACATTATTTTAATATTAATTAATAATTAAGAGTAAAAATCAAAATTCTATTTAATTCTCACAAACATAACTGCATGAAAGTTATAAGCACTTTTTTTTTTTTTTGTTAATTTTATTATATTTTTTCAAATAAATAATACTTTCTGCTGTTAAACCATGATAATAAATACCATATATGTTTTATCCATGTGTTTCAATTTAACCAAAATTATAAGCATTATTATTTTTAATTTTAAATGAGATTCAATATTGTAAATAAGCAGAATTGAGCTACCATTTAATGAAATGTATAATTAAATTTGATTCGAATTTGACAATCGAGCTTTTATAAAATCGAACTTTGCTTGTTTGTTAAATGAGTTTCATAAATAAATTCTAACTGACTTAGTAGTTGTCTAATAAGTTAGAACAAGATTTTTCCTAACTAAATATCGAAAAATTCACAAATCATTTAATTTATTTTCAGCCCTATATTTTCTTTCCTTTTTTGTTTTTGGCCGCGAGATTTTTTCACCCACTAATACAGATGGGTCTAATCATAGTTCTAATTGAAAGTGATTTGTAAATAAAGTCCTTCTAATTCAATGTCGAAAAAAAAAGTCCTTCTAATTGACTCTAGATTTTGATAAAAATAAATAAATAAATAAATAAAACAAGATTTTCCCTAACATTACAGAGCGAATTAAAGTAGTCTATAAAAGAATAAATTGGATACAGTTCTTATGAAAATTTAATTATAAATAGTATTTAAGAACGTCTGCACGTTAACTTGTTATTTAATTCACAATTTTATATGATTTATCATGTTTATTTTTAAATTCAGTTTAATATTTAATTGTAATGGTACAATTATATCTTTAATTGACATTTGAGTCTCTCTATATATAACATTAATATTTTAGAACATATATTGCACCTATTGATTATTGATTCTTGTCGTAGATATTCGTTGTTTAATTTATAATTTTTTTATTATTTATCAAGAATAATTCTCATTATTATTTTAATTCCCATTACAAAATAATTGAACATAATAGTTAATAGATTATAAAACAATTGGTATTTAAATAAAATATTTATTATAAATTGATTATCTTTCATATTCATGCTATTTTCCATAAAATTTAAATAAAAATATGGATAAATCTAAAAATCGAAAAAAATTTATGACAGTTTATAAATTTTATTTTTATTATAAAATAGAAAAATAATACAGAAGAATAAAAGTAATAATAATGATTTTTTATAGAAAATAATGAATTTTCTATTAAAAAATAAATAAGAGTAATTATAATAAATATATAGTTAAATCAATTTATGCTAGTGAACACAAGTTAAAAAATTAAATATACAATAATGATTAGACTTAGGATTATAATATTTTATATATAAATACAAAATAAGATTTAAAGAATTTAAAATTTAAAAATTAAATATACGAAATAATGATTAGACTTAAGATTATAACATTTTATAAATAAATACAAAATAAGATTTAGAGATTTAGATTTTGAATTATAACTGATAACAAATAAGATTAATAAAATATAAAATAATATTGATATCGGATAAATGATTGACAATAATAAGTCAAGCTATTATCCGACGTATATTTAATTGCGAAATACTTGATAATTAAAATAAAGAAATTCTTAATATTGAAAATAAATAAAATTTGCATAATAAAATAATTTTATATAAATATATTAAGATGATAAATAATATATGATTAGAAGACGGAACAAAACTTCAACAATAGGTCATAAAAATTAAAAAAAAAATTTGCTTTTTAAACTTATTATACCGAAAATTAAAATTAAAAATTATATTTTTTCTAAAAAAGTTAAAATGTATATTCAATTAGTAGTATAATCAATTTAAATTAAAAATTTATACTTAATTAGTAATTTCTATAATTAAAGAATGTATTTGAATTTCAATTATTATTCTATTTAATTAAGAAAAAGATTTTATTTATTTTTTCAATCAATAAAATTAAAATTTTTAAAGAAGTTTTACTTACTAAAATTATTTTTGATAATTTCAATTCTCTTCTCCCTATTCTCACTTTTGCAAATACTAATTTTCTTGAACATACATTAAACACTGTATGTGCTAGTTGATTTCTACTCAATTTAAGTAAGTACAATTTAATTTATATATATAATTAGTTCCTAGTATTTCTACTCAATTTAATAAGTACAATTTAATCATATTAATAATTATATATATATATATATATAATATTATATATATAACACTTTCTTATGAATTTTTTATTATAAAATATAATATTATAGAGAATTAATCTAAAAAATCTATGATACCTCACAAAATCACGGATAGAAAAAATTTCTTTTTAATTAAAATGTATTGTAAAAAAAACTTTAATAATTAAATAAACTTATACTGAAAAAAAAATTAATTTATATAATTATATTATATTGACAATAAAATTTATGAAAATAAAATTAAATTTTAATAATACTTTTTTATTTAAAACAGAAATTTAGTCAGACAATTTTTTTTTTCATCGCAAAATCGTTCAATTATAGATAGACTAGAATTATATATATATTTAGTGATATAAGATTACAGAAAAAATACCTTTCCTAAAAAAAAAATAAGAGAAAATGCAGTCTAGTTGTTGACTTGCACCAACTCGTGTTATAGTAAAATGTAAAATTTATCCATAATGCCTTTCAATACATCTTAATTGTATTACTTGGCATCCTAGAGCAGATGAAATATTTATAAATATTATTATAATTTGACAATAAAATTTTTATGAAAATAAAATTAAAATTTTTAATAATATTTTTTTTATTAATACATAAATTTAGTAGGAGCATTTTTTTTTTATCGCAACGTTCAAGTTATAGATAGATAGATTATAGATATATATGGATATAGATTACAGAAAATATTACCTTTTCCTAAAAAAAAAAAGGGAAATGGGCAGTGCTAGTTGTGACTTGCACAATCTGTGTATAGTAAATGTAAATTATCCATAATGCCTTTAATATATTTAATTGTTTATTAGGCATAGAGAAGTGAGAAAGACCCCTCTATAAATTAAACTACAAAATGAAAGTGCACTGTTGTCCTTGCCGTTGCCAACTACTTGCCGAACTGACGCCGGCCACCGTGCATAATGACTGGAAAATTGAACTGACCCAAAACCTTGCTCACTATATATCAAAACAATGAAAATTTCATGACGAACTTAGTTTTGTTATCAATTTACTGCTACGTGAACTGCTTGAGCTTTTATTCTATTTTAATTACGTAATCAACAAGAGGAGCAAGTCTCTTTAAGAGCATACTGTACTATATGGAAAGAAGGAAAGGAAGGGGATGGAACTCTTTTCCTTTAAAGCAAGAAGTCTTAAAAGGGTCTTAAACTAGGGCCAGGAGATAGATTTGAATATTGCCACACTCGAGGAACAGGCCAACGAAACTTACAAGTAAGGAGATCAAAGTAAAGAAAAGAGAAAAATGTATTTTATTAATTTTATCGATTTCATCAAAAGACCCCAACTCAAACTCAATTTCAATTCGCATAATCTTTCACCAAATCTTTAAGTGAATACAAAATCAAGTTTACTTTTATAGAAAACTATAAATTCAAGGTTACCTCAATAAGAAATGTAGTCAGAATTGCAAAACCCAACCGGAAAACTAAAAAATAACAAAAATTGAATTTCTTAGTCTGCAAAAATATGAACTTGATCAACCAAATGATGACCAAAAATAAACTTATTAAGACTAGAGGTGTATTTTACAATTTTGTTCACGTTATATGGTGGCTGGAGTTCGATCGGAAAGGACAGACAGTGAGTCGCTTGACGTAACAAAGGAGGAAAGGAAGAAGAAAAATGACATTTACTCTTCCCTTAAACTATTTATAGTCCGGTTTGACCCGTTTAGAATTCGATTCGATCTGAATCACAAAATTTTAATTTCTTTGGTTTTCTAGCGGTTTAACTTAATCGATTAGATTATTATGATTATTATGCATTAATTATTAATTGATTTTACATACTTCCCTTAATCATTGGAAGACTTTCTATATCCATCAGATATAAATGTATTAATTGATTTTACATACTTCCCTTAATCATTGGAAGACTTTCTATATCCATCAGATATAAATGTATTAATTGATTTTACATACTTCCCTTAATCATTATAATTCTAAGATTTGAGAGTCAATACCTTAATTAGCATATATAATTAATCAATGTCAAGATATTTCAAATTATTAAAATATAACTATAACCTTTTTAATTACTAGCTAGTATTATTTTATATAATAATAATAATAATAATAATAACCAT